CTGCTGTTTGGCTTGACCACCACTGACTTGTACAACCGATTACCAAAACGCAGCTGCAGGAGGGCCCCTTCAATAATGTCCTGGCAGTACTTCTTCACAATAGGCTTGGTCAGCAGCCCTTCCAGGTAGTCCTGGTCTTCCGCAGGGAAATGCGCCCAACGAATACACTTGAAGACTTCTGCAGCACTGGGGCCCCGCTCTTTGGGAGCAGCCTCGAGCCACTGCACGGCCACATGACACACTGTCTTCTCACTGTCTACGTCCAGACTGTCGAGACGCAGCACGGCCAGCAGCTGCGCCAGGGTCAGGTCTGCCAGCGTCTCCTCCCGAATGGAACCCATCCTGCTGAGCTGCTTGAAGTTGTGAGCTATGAAGGACTGGGCCTGGGAGCGCAGCTTGTGGTGGTCAAAGGCGTCGGCAAACTTGAGGATGGCAGTGCAGTTGGTCAGGTCAAGCCTGCGAGCCAGGAAGGAAGCACAGGCTTCGCGCACGTACTCCAGCTGCAGCATATCCGAGGCCGCGTACAGGCGCTGCACGTTGGCCTCGCTCAGGGACACGCGGCCGGTGTAGCAGTAGTCCACCAAGACCTCGAAGGACTCGGCGTCCACGTCGTGGATGGTCACGCTGGCCTGCTGGCTCTCGTACATGCCGCCCGTGAACATGCTCTTGAAGTAGGGGCACGCCGCCGCCAGCACGTTGCGGTTGCACGAGAAGAGGCGCCCCGTGCCGGGCCCGCTGCCGGGCGTCACCACCTCGATGGTCACATCACACAGCAGCCGCGCGTCGTAGAAAGACTTGAGCTGGGCCAGGAGGGCTGCAGAGTGGGCCGCGTCCTTCAGCTCCTCGGGGCCCGTGAAAAAGGCCGACACCGAAGGCTTGGAGATCCTCTTGGGTCGCCTCCCGCCGCGGGGACTGGCGAGGCGGCGAGAGCGCGGGGCGTCTTCCCGGGACTGCATGGTGGAGATGGCGGCGGGGCGCCGGGGACGAGAACGGCTGCAGACGCCCGGCTCCTCCTCACGCCTCCCTCGCCGACGCCGACACAGACACAGCGGCGTCCCAGGACAGTCGGCCCGCGGCCGTAGTTACTCAACTGGGCCTTCGCTGCGGTGCCGCCTCCCTTTATCGCGTAGCCCGCGCCTGACTCACCGTTTCCCTTCGCGCCCTTTCTCCACTGAGCTCACCCTCACACGACCCCGGGCTCCAGCCGCGACAACAGCTTCTGCCGCGCTGGCGATACCGGTAGGTGCCCGGACGAACTACTCTTCCCAGGCTGCCTTTCGCGCACCTCGATGCATGACGGGATCATTAAAGCTGGAGGGCCAAAACAGAGGGGCCGAAGCAGCTTTGCATCTTGGGAGTTGTAGTTTGGGCAATGTTTTCTGTTGACTCTTTTTAAAAGAGGGAAAGCTGATAGTATCTTAGATGTGAGGTTTAAGGTTTCAGCCTTGCATAGTGGTCCACGCCTTTAATCCCTCACTGGCCAGGCTGAAGCAGGCGGAAATGCGTAGATTTGAGGCCACCATGATCTACGTGGTGAGTTTCAGGATATTCTATTTTTTGATTGTGTGACTAAAATGCGAAATCAGCAAGTATTCTTCTGTTTATAAAGATAGTCAGCTTGGAGGGAGGTGGGGGGGTCACACCTTTAATCTAGCACTCAGGAGCCAGAGGCAGGAGGATCTCTTGAGTTTGAGGCCAGCCTGGTCTACTGAGTGAGTTCTAAGACAAGCAGGGCTACACAGTGAAACTCTGTCTAAAAAAACTGAAAATGAAAAGTAATAGAGGCATCCATTAGTTTGAAACCATGAACCAGGGCAAAAACAAAATTGTAAATTTCTGTAAATAATTTTTTACTCACTTCATCTGCTTTTTGTTTTCCTTTGTTTTTCGAGACAGGGTTTCTCTGTAGAGCAGTCCTTGTCCATTGAACTCACTAGATAGCCTAAGAGTGCTGGGATTAAAGGCGGTTGCCGCCACTACCTGGCCCGGATGGATCCTTTTTAGAACATGGGGGAGTCTTTTCTCCTTCCACCATGTGGGTTCTGGGGACCAAACTCAGGTCTTAAGGCTTGTTAGCAATCACCTTTACTAGCAGAGCCATCTCACCCACCCTCCAGTGTATACTGGTAAATAAAAACACTTGCAAGTCGGTGCACAGGTTTAATCCCAGCACTCCGGAGGCAGAGGTAGTCGGATCTTTGTGAGTTAGAGGCCAGCCTGGTCTACAGAGATAGTTGCAAGACAACCAGAGTTGTTAAACAGAGAAACAGAGAAGCCATGTCTTAAAAAGCCAAAAAAATAAATAAAAATAAAAAAAAACCCACATGCAAAAATGCCTTCGTCATTCATCATCTGGTGAATGTAAATCAATTCACAATGAGGGTTCACCACACACTCACTAGACTATCTAAAATTAAAAGGACAAATCATGCTAAATAAATATTGGTGAGGACATGATAACACTGGAATCTTACCGATAATACAAACTCAGAAATACCCCTGCCTCTGCCTCCCAAATGCTGGGACTAAAGGTGTGCACCACCACCACCTGGCAAGTCTCAAAATGTTTACACTGAGTAAAAGAAGGCAGATAAAGAATTGTCCATCCAACTCTGGATGGTGGTGCCTCACTCCTTTAATCCCAGGCAGTCAGATCTTTGTGAGTTCAAGGCCAGCCTGGACTACAGAGTAAGTTCCAGGACTGGCTCCATAGCTATAAAGAGACCATATCTTGAAAAAGAAAAAAAAAAAGTATTTTCCATCCAGATGGTGGACTCCCATAGAAGAAAACAAGCTTCTATGAACAACAGTCATGACAGCTGCCAGTCATCCAGCTGGTAGATTACTAGATTGAAAAGAAACATGAGGAAACTTTGGGAGATGGATCAAAGGTTTTCTTCTGTTTGAGCAGGTGTTTGCAAAGATGGATGCAACTGGCAAACTCAATGAACTGTATTCAGATCTGAGCTTTTGATGTACAATAAATTATATTGAATGTCAGTAGGAGTTTCCTTGTAATTGTTGGCACTAAACAAGGTTGTGAAACTCTTTTCTAGGAAATTATCTCAAGCACAGTTCAGACATAAAGCAAGTCTCTCTTCAACTAGAAGTTGAGGGGTCAGCATCATTGAAACTCATACAGATGATGGCTTCAAATGTGATCCTCTGCATCCCTAGGCCATTTTCAAGATAAGCAAACCAAAGTAGCAAAATGCCAAGACGGCACTTAGGCATCCTCTCTTCCTGCCACCACTTCATCACCAGCACGCTCCTTATCTCCTGCTACTTCTAACTTGACTCGTTTTCTTGTAATTGACATAATCACCTGTGACAGAGTCCTTATTGATTGCTGTTCATGAATGTTTTCAACTCCTGAGAAGATCAAATGTCTCTTATGGGGTACTCCACCATTCCCATGCTGGTTGCTCTTTCCCGATGTCATCCCCTATGATTTTGCTCCTGACTGACTTCCCTAGGTCTCCTTCTTTGTGCAGACTAGACTCAGCTTTCTGAAACCCATTTTCCTAGTTTTTATTCTAGTCACTCTCATGCATAATGTATTTTACCTGTTTGGGCTTTAAGGCAAGGGATATATACTTTACTTCATTAAAAGACATAAAAAGCACAGTACCTGCTTATCTCAGAACTCAATCTTCAATGCCATTTACCAGTGAGTCACCACTGCCTCCTTCTCCAGCTTCACCCAGCAGCCTGGTTCATCTGTACTGTTCTTACTCAATACTTAGATAGAGCCCATAGACTATTCATTTTCATATTCAAAGTGAGTCTACATTACCTTTTAGGCATTAACTGCCTTGAGTTTTAATAAGACCACTCTCCCTCAGTTTAAGAGTGCCTGGTGTGTGAGCTGCCTACAAGCGTCATTTCTGTTTCAAATATTTAGTAGCTACTAATTTGTCTTGAGCCTGTTGTGTAATTTTTTTAAAAAATGTAATTTTATATAAGCTAGGCATGGTGACTCACACCTATAATCCCCTTACTTGGAAGAAAAATGATTATAGTTTTTAAAAGGGCTAAAAGAAACAGTTGACTCATACAATCCAGTCTTGACATTTTATTTCTCTTTTGATGTTACAAGCTTATTTTCTACTTGAGGAGTTGGATTATTTACTGAAACCCAAAATAAACCTTTATGTCAAGAAATGTGACTTTCACTGAGTTCAAGGCCAGCCTGATCGACAGAGCAAGTGAGTTCCAGGACAGCCAAGCCAACACAGAGAAACCCTGTCTTGAAAAAAAAAAATGTGACTTTCATTCATTAAAATGATTTCTATAAAAATTCTGTATGTACAGCTATACTTTATGAATATTCATTAAGATTCCCACACTTGTTTATTTCTTGATCAAAGTCCATTTCATTTATATAATAAATAATATGCCACATTTATTTCACTGATTTAAGGCTTTCATCCAAAAATTCAGCAATGGCCTCTTCATCTGCTGATTGAAGCAGTCTCTGAATTAGCTGATCCAAGCATTTCTCACCACGTAAGAATTCCTGATAAAAAAAGATGGAGTTATTATGAATCCTGATGATAAACTGGGCATTGGTGGTATGCGCCTTTAATCCCAGCACTTGGGAGGCAGAGGCAGGCAGGCAGGCAGATCTCTCTGTGAGTTCAAGGCCAGCCTGGTCTACAAGAGCTAGTTCCAGGACAGGCTCCAAAGCTGCACTGAGAAACACTTCCTTGGGGGAAAAAAAAATAAAAAACACCAACGTTTGTACAGTTCTGGAGGTCAAACATGGTCCTCTTTCTTGCAAGGTAAGAATTTTACCAACTGAGTCACCTTAACAGTCCAAGACTTCTACATTCTCTTGGGATTTTTTCCTTTTTAATTTATTTTTCACTTATTGTATGTGCACATGGATAGAAGCCAGAGGTCTTTTGAGATGGGGTCTTTTTAGTGACCCTGGAGATCACCAATTGACTAGACTGCCTGGCCAGTGAACTAGGTAATGAATGAGGTGACTCTGAGTAACAAAATACAATGTCATTCTAGTGGGTTTCACTTAATCAGATGTACCCTTGAAAGGGCCTACCATGCCTGTAAAAAAGGATTAAAAGTAGGGAGACCGTGTTTGAGGCAGCCACTTGGGAAGCAACTTACAGCAACATTTAATGCTAAGAGCAGCTTCCATCTAACTGTGAGCGAGAGCATGCCAGTCACGCAGCTTGAGACAATGGAAGAGGAAGGAATCCAGAAAAGTGAGTAGATCAGCCACACTGCGTTTGTTCCAGCCTTGTGAGACCCCGAGCAGAGAACAACTCAGCTGTGCCTAGAATTCTGACCTACAAAAAGTCTAAAAATAGGGTAGTGCGAGCTCACTAAATGGTACAGCATTTATCTAGCATGTGTGGGTTCAACTCCTAGTATCACAAAAACTTCATGAGATAATAAAAAATATTGTTTTAAGCTGCTAACTTTTTGGCAATTACAAATGAATACTTGTAAATGTGTATATTTATTATATAGTAATAATATGTGATGGTATAACAAAAAATTTAGAATTTATTACACTTACATGCTTTTAGAAAGTGAGCCACCCTGCCAGCCCGATTATACTTTCTAACAAAGCAAAGGTACATAAAGCAATATTACCTTAATGTCCCGAACTTCAAATGCTATTCTATGGTCAGTCACTCTATCCTGGGTAAAATTATATGTTCGGATTCTCTCTGATTGTGCTCTTGTTCCCACCTGTCCCATAACAAAAAGAAATTTGTATTTTTAATTTTAAAATTAAAAACCACAATGTATATTAAATCTTAATAAATTCCTTATACATGACTTTTCTGTTTGAAGGACTTAAGTATCTACTAAAATCCACTTATAATCATAGAACAAGACAAGAACAGGCAGAAGAAAATCGTAAAACTGTGGATATGGTGTCAGGGAAATAGCTGAGTGGGAGAATGCATGCTTACTCAGCTAAAGGCCCAGGTTCCACCCCCAGCCTACCAAACAGACAACTATAGACCTGTGGAGCTCAGCTATGGAGCAAGAATAAATGTCTCTTTGATAGTTCAAACTCTAAATATTGAAAACCAAATGAATCATCTTTTCTACCCCAATCAGTTCTTCCTCCTGGTTCCTACAAATGAACCCACTATGTACTCCTTTTTTTTTTCTTTCCTTTTTAGAGTTTTTAACTTTCAAAACTGCACTGTGCCATTGTGTAGCTTGATGCAGACTCTGGGGCGAAAGCACTCTCGGGTTAGTCCATTGTCCAGCTGGTGCCTTAGTTATACCCTGACTTTGTGTTTCTACTATCACCTCATACACTTCTGCAAAACCACAGATTAACACTGCATGTTTCTGCTTCCATGAGCTCCTTGCTTCATCTTCCTAAGGCGGTTGTCTGAGAAGCTTTCTCCCACGGGTCCTTCTTGCCTGCTAGGAGCACACACCTGAACTCAGCATTTAAGGTACCTCTTAGCATGGACAGGCTTCCCAGCATTGTTTCTCAGAATCATGTGAACCTTTACAATGCCACTTGCTATATCGTGTCATAGTCACATGTTGTCTAGCTCATCATGTTAAGGGACACCCTTCCCTACCACCCCTGCCCAATAACTGAAATACATTCTCTGACCCCTTTAAACTTACAGCATGGGATCACCACCAATCACCCCAGGCAATGGTTACTTGTATGCTCAGGCTGTTCCTGTCCTCCCAGATAGACACAGCATTTTCTCAATTGCTTTCATCTTTTAAGATTAAAGAAACACATTTCTTCTCTCCCACTGCCCCCAGCTCTCTTGTTCTTTCTTTGAACAGACTCTCACTGTACAGCACAGGCTGATCTGGAACTGGCAATCTTCTTGCCTCAGCCTCTCAAATACTGACTCATTTTCTTAAAGTCTGAGGCAAACAATATGAAATGAAACTTCTTATTGGGAGAATTTTAAAAAGTTACAGACTTCTAAGCTCAATCATAAATATATTGAACTAGGGACCGTGCGTTCTGGAACAGTCCCTTATCTATTCCTTTTGCCAAGCTGGGTTTGGAAAGTGCCATACTAGGACCTCACTCTAGATCAGAGGAGCAGGGGTGGGGCGCTGGGGTGTGAAGCATCTAAAAACTTCTTGATGTGGGAACCAGGGTTGAACACTGGGCACTCCATAAAGACCACTGTATGACTGAAGAAAAAGATCGAAAACAGTAGAAAATGCTACTAGAACAGCTCATGGATACACAAGGCAGCTGAGAGGCCTTTCTGGTCACTAAAATGAGACCTAATACACCGTCTGTCCTTTAACTACTTCTACAAGCTGGGAAGTGGGCAAAGAAAGCTAGAAAGACAAACAGGGGAAGGGTTCATATCATGATATATCATGCTGAGCAGAATGACTAATATCTAAAAGGTTTTTGGTTTTTTGCTTTGTTTTTTTTTTTTTTTTCCCAGACAGGATTTCTCTGTGTAACAGCCTTGGCTGTCTTGGAACACAGAATCCTCCTGCGTCTGCCTCCCTAGTGCTAGGATTAGAGGTGTGTGCTACCATGCCCTGCTGTCTAAAAGATTTGTGAAATTCACTTTCCTAAAAGGCCACAAAAGTCTTCCAAGTTTCATTTATTGTAGCATGCCTATATGTAAATATCACATAAAAGCACATTTCTTTCTGCCTGCCTTCCCTCCTTCCTCTCGTTCTCTTTTTTAAAATCCTTCCTGTAGGACTGAGTTCAAAGCTGGGACCCTGCACATACTAGGCAAGTGCTCTACCACTGAGCTACATACACAGTCTTATGCATACTTATTTCTGAGTTCTACTTTCTCTTCTAGGCTCTCTCAAAGAGAAACTTTACCATTCTTGAAGATTTCTTTTTTTTTCTTTTTGGTTTTTCGAGACAGGGTTTCTCTGTGGCTTTGGAGGCTGTCCTGGAACTAGCTCTTGTAAACCAGGCTGGTCTCGAACTCACAGAGATCCACTTGCCTCGGCCTCCCGAGTGCTGGGATTAAAGGTGTGCACCACCAACGCCCGGCATTCTTGAAGATTTTTATTTTATTTTATTTTATTTATTTATTATGTATACAACATTCTGCTTCCATGTATGTCTGCACACCAGAAGAGGGCACCAGATCTCATAACGGATGGTTGTGAGCCACTATGTGTGGTTGCTGGGAATTGAACTCAGGACCTCTGGAAGAGCAGCCAGTGCTCTTAAACTCTGAGCCATCTCTCCAGCCCGAAGATTTTAATTTATACTTTGTTTACTTAAAACAGTGGAATTTATTGCTTAGAATATACTGCCTTACATATTTGTAATATATAACTTACATTTATATATAACATATTTTATATGTAACATTTTTTTGAAATAACAACGTCAGTAGGTAGACTATAGCAATCTGCCTACCTCGGCCTCCTGACTGCTGGAATTAAAGGCATATGCTACCATGCCCAGCTTTGTATACTATATTTAATACCATAAATATATCTTAAACAAAATTCAAGAAGTACCAAAGGGCCTGAAATGAAAAGTCAATCTTCCTTTTATTCTTTATCCCCAGACTCCAGCAGCAATCTCCCTTCCTTGTTTCTGGAAGTGCCATCTATGTTTGATACATATAGATCTGTGATAAAACATAGGCCTAGGCCGGGTGGCTCACGCCTTTAATCCCAGCACACAAGAGGCAGAGGCTGGCGGATCTCTGTGAGTTTGAGACCAGCCTGGTCTACAAGAGCTAGTTCCAGGACAGCCAGGGTTACACAGAGAAACCCTGTCTCAACAACCCTCCCACCCCCACCCAAAAAAACAGGCCTTTAAGTATCTGAAAATCTTCTAATTTCCAGGGAATTATTTTTGTCTTAAAACCAATTTCCTTGCCAGGCAGTGGTGGCACACACCTTTAATCCCAGTACTCGGGAGGCCGAGGCAGGCTGATCTCTTTGATTTTAAGGCCAGCCTGGTTTACAGAGCTAGTTCTAGGACAGTCAGGGCTACATAGAGAAACCCTGTCTGAAGAATAAAAAACAGACAAAACCCCACCAATTTCCTTTTAAGACAGTTACAACACAAACACAATTAGGAAATACTTTTATTCATTCATTTATTCCTTTGCAATAGAAACTGGCATGCCTAAATGCAATCCCAACACCTCAGGCTGCATTTAGAGCATTTAAGCTCTTCCTCATTTAGAAATAAGCACATTTCTCTATGTTCTAAGATACATACATTCATGTTAGGACACACACTGCACTTTCTACATGAAAAAAACTTTCCTACAGTGTTGCAATTGTTACACTTACCTGCAGTTTTCTAGCACTCTGTTGCTGACACTTGTCTTTCTCAAGTATCTGCTGGTAGAGTCTAGCTCTCAACACACGCAAAGCTATTTCCTTATTTTTCAGCTGTGATCGTTCTTGTTGGCACTCTACCACCAGTCCTGAAAAACAACAGGAATCAGAGGTAAAGTATTACTAGTCATTTCCACAGTCAAATACAATAGAAATGAGAACATTTTATTTATTGTTTATTTGTGACAGGGTCTCACTGAGTAGTTCCGGCTGGTCTTGAACCCAGTCTGCTTCTGCCTCAGGAGTTCTGGGATTAAACCTGGCTGAGGTACTTTGTAAGGGGAAAGGTTAATCAGGACATGTGACAAAAGATAAACAACAATTTGGATTTAGCACACTTTAGAAACTGTTGGTAATGACTGTATGCCTGCTTAGATTCTGATATCTAAATGAAATATTTCACTGTTTTGTTTGTTTGTTTTTTCTTTTCTGTTTTCAAGACAGGTACTCACTATGTAGTCTTTTTGTTTGTTGTTTGGGTTTTTTTGTTTGTTTGTTTCTCTAGTTTCTTGTTTGAGTCAGAGTTTCTCTGTGTAACAGTCCTGGCTGTCCTGGAACTGGCTCTATAGAGGAGTCTGGACTTGAATTCACAGAGATCTGCCTGCTTCTGCCTCCCAACTAAGTGCTGGGATTAACAATGTGCACCACTCTACCTGGCCTTTTTTTTAATAAGGTCTCCCTGTGCAGTCCAGGCAGTCCTTAAACTTGAGATCCATCAGCTCCTCAAATGCTGTGCTTACAGCATACTGGGATTACAGGGGTCTGTTATGAGGTTTGACTCTGAAATCTTCAGATGGGAAGCCTGAGGCAGCAGCTGGTCAGATTTACTTTTATTCTCTGAGCGCTTCCTCTCCTTTTTTCGCTCGTCTAAAAGTAAACTTCTGCCATCCTCTAGGGAGTGCCGTCCCTGCTCTGTCCTACTCAGGGAGCACTGGACCTTTCCTCTTTGAGTCAAAATGCACGAAAAGAGGGCTGGTGTTGAAAATCCCCCTTTACGAAAGTCTGGGGACATAGCTCAATGACAGAGCCAAGCTAGCATGGCTGAAGCCTGGGTTCTATCTTTAGTGTCACTTCCACTCTCTGCCCCCAACAAAAAAAGATGAGCGCAGTATCTGTGGTGGCAGATGTGAGTCATCTGTTGTAGGTGCTGAGAACTGCCCTCTTAGCTTAATTGGCGCTCTCGCCCATCCTGGCTTAGCATTTGAGAGTGTTTACTGATCACCTGTGAGGACCAGAGTTTGGATCTAAGCACCCATGCAACAAGCCAGGTGTCCCGCAAACACCTGTAACTCCAGCTCTTTGGGATCAGACTCCTAGCTTCAAGCATGCAGAGACATGCACACCTGCACACACTCACACATAATTCTTTTTAGTGACTTAAAAACAAATGAAGATTTAGAAAGAAAACTTGTTTTAGTCTGAAAGTGATGCTTATGTACTATATTAACAACTTGGCCAATGACAGTCTGCACATACAATAGTTGTCCTATAAAATCTTATCACTGAGAGTTATCTTAGTTTGTGATCTTTTATAATTTTCACCCAGTGATAAACTGCATAATGATGCATTTCTCAGAATGTAACCCTATTATGAAGCAATGTTTTTAAAAATCACCTTAACGTTTAAAAAAAAGCTTACAGTTTATCAAGGTGACCAAGTGGCCAATATTCAGGGCAGCAGAGCCTTCCTGGCACTAGCAGTTCATCTCCAAGACGAGACAGGATCCACAGCAATGGCATGTCTAAGCTGTATCTGTTCCCTTTGGAACTCCATGGAGCACTGCTTGTGGAGCACCACTGTGCATCATATCCAAGCACCTTTCCCGCACAGATATGCTTACCACCTGCATCTTTCAAAGGAAGAACTGTTTCCAAACAGGAGAAAACAGACACAACTGGTACATCAGATCCACAATGACACTGCCATCTTTAGACTGTAAATATATTCAAATATATAGTACTTGGTCCACGCCGGGCATTGGTGGCGCACGCCTTTAATCCTAGCACTCCGGAGGCAGAGACAGGCGGATCTCTGTGAGTTCAGGCCAGACTGGTCTCCAGAGCGAGTGCCAGGATAGGCTCCAAAGCTGCACAGAGAAACCTGTCTCGAAAAACACATATATAGAGTACTTGGTCCTCAGTTGCTGTGGAAAGGATTAGGAGGTGTGGCCTGATTGCAGAGGCGTGTCACTGGGGGTGGGTTTTAAGTTTTCAACGCCCACACCAATCAGTTAGCTCTCTCTGCCTTGCGCTTGTGGATCAAGACATGAGCTCTCAGCTACTGCTCCAGCACCAGGCCTGCTGCCATGCTCCCTGTCATGATGGCCATAGACGCCAACCCTCTGAAACCATGAGCCCGGAATCAAGTGTTTCTTTTATAAGTTGCCTTGGTCATGGTGCCCTAATACATCATTAGAAAGTAAGGAAGACACAAGCAGCAGCTTGCTCACCTGTGGGGATATGGACAAGCCTCACCGCGCTGTCTGTCGTGTTAACACACAAGCAGCAGCTTGCTCACCTGTGGGGATATGGACGAGCCTCACCGCACTGTCTGTCGTGTTAACATGCTGCCCTCCTGGGCCTCGGGATCGAAATGTGTCTATCCGCAGATCCCTGGGGTCGACTTTCACATCAACCTAGGACAAAAAGACACAGCCTAAGTAAATTCACAATTCCACAAATACTTTACTCGAGACTTTTCAAATAAACTAAACTACTTATGCAAACCACAAATTAAAAAGAATGCCAAAGGAAGAACCATAATGACCTATTTCTCCCTCCCTCCCTCTCTCCCCCCCCCTCTGTTTTTCCCCCTGAGACAGGGTTTCTTTGTGTAGTTCCAGCTGCCCTGGAATTAGCTCTATAGACCAGGTTTGCCTCAACTTCAAAGATCTGCCTATTTCTGCCTCCCAAGTTTTGGGATTAAAGTCATGTGCCACCATCACAGGCTAATAACCTATTTCAATGAAACACTGTTTTTGTTTATGAGGTGATAGGGTTTGAACCTAGGGCATTATACATGCTAGGTAAGAATTCTACCTTTGAACTTATCCCACTTAAAGGATGAAGTTTTTAAGTACTGACTGAGAATGGTTTGAGAGCACTGAATTATGTATCTTTTAAGAGTTCCACTACTGGTTATCTCATATTATACAGAACATAAAAATATCTGTAACACACATCACTGATTCTCATTATTCCCAGAATCCCAGTTGAGAAATTTACCTTCTCACTAAAATCTCGTCCCATGCCACTTTCACACTAAAGCACTTGAGCTGTTCCACATTCTCTCATTCTCAGGCACCTTCTTGTTTCAGCTCTCACACAGATAACCAGAGGACAGATATGATGCAGCAGGACACTGGAGCACAGGGAGGCTTTGCTTGGGGTTACTTATACTGCGTTTTAACCCCAGTTAGTGGAGCAGCTCAGGCTAATCTCTTTTCCCGTGACTCATTCTCCTCTTGTAAAACAAAGAAACTAAATCTAGCAGGTGGGTTGTTTGGGGGATTTAAGGTCATAATCATGTGAGGTGTGTACACGTATATGAACGGGTGAACCCTTAACCACTGCTCCCGGGCTCCTGTGAGATCGCTCTCCTCTTCCTCCTCCCCACCCCTCCCCTCTGCGGGTGTGTATTTATTGGTGGGTCACAGTTTTACTCCTTGAACTTTATTTGAGAAGGAGATCTGAGAAGACACAATTGAGTTTAAAGGACATGCAGGGCTGGTGATGGCTCAGCAGGTGAAGGCACTTGCTGCTGAGGCTGAAGACTTGAGTTCCACTCCTGGACACACATGGTAGGAGAGAACTGACTTCGTGAGTTGTCCTCTGACCTCCATGTGTTAAGTTATGGAACACACGCTCACTCACACACAGACACACAAATAAATACATGTAAATAAAACATGTTTTTTAAAAAGATTGGACTAGATACCCAGATAGACTCTAAATACAATCATAGTGTCCTGACAAGACTCTGAGTTCCCTTCGTAGAGATGACCATGGGAATTCAAAGCAGAAGCTGGTGGTATAGAGCCTCAAGCCAGGAGCACCTGGAGCTACTTGAAGCTGGAAGTGCAATGGAGGATACTGTCCCTTCAGAGAGATTAAGACCAGGCAGCCACCTTGATTTGGGACCGTTTGCCTCTATGACTATGAGAGAGTAAACCGTTGCTGTTTTTATTTATTTATTTATTTATTTATTTATTTGTGTGTGTGTGTGTGTGTGTGTCTGTGTTTGAGTGCACATGTGCACAACAAAGCATGCCTGTGGAGGTCAGAGGACAACTTTGGAAAGATTAGTTCTCTCCTTCCACCATGTGGATTCCAGGGATTAAACTCAGGGCATCAGACTTGGCAACAAATACCTTTAGCTACTGAGTCATCTTGCCTGATGCTGTGACTTCTTTTTTAAATAAAACAAAATAAACAAAACATTATAGAGATAAAAAGGGTAATTTACCTGGGGAAGAGTTAAAGATTCTCAAAAAAGACTATTAAGTTCAATTGTCAACCATGAAAACAGACTTTTCTAGAAGGTAGGGTTTCTTAGCATAATATACATTACATGGAGCCAGTTTCACTGTGTCCTGGTGAAATTACCTCATCTGGCTGAAGAAGGACAATAACTGACATTGTTCCTGTGTGAATACGCTGCATCCTTGACGACAGGCCCACATCTGGGATTCGCTGAACTCTATGGATTCCACCTTCATACTTCAAATGCTTATAGACACTGTCTCCAGAAATTCTGGCAGCTGCATGATGTAGTCCACCTAGAAAAAAGAGATAAAGAGATACTAGTGCAGTCAGACTCCTAGGTACTGGAACTAAAGCTGTGGGCTATCACACTTGGTTCTTTGCTTTAGTTTGGGAAGGGTAGATATCTAGTTTCCACAGGAACTTCTTCTTTAATTCACATACTCCTTCTTAGGAGCATGGTTCCCATCCTGATCTCTTCAGTTTAGGTAAGAACTTTACTGAAGGCCAGATGTGGTGGTGCATGCCTTTAGTCCCAGCATTACCAGTAAAATAAGTTGGAGCGCCTTTGACAAAGTCTTCAATTTATGCTTACCATAATCTGCTGGTGTGTAATTCAGCAGCTCAAATTTCCAGTGTTTATAGTATGAATAATTCTGGTACATATCAAATATTTCTCGGGTAAACTGTTGGCAGATATCACCTAAAAGAAAATACACAAACTATTCAGTAAGCACAAATATTAGAGAGTGCATCCTTAGGTATAAGCACCCAGAAGATGTGTCCAAAACTAAACACATGCAACAGGCTTTTCAAGTATGGTGATGTCAAACCAAGTAAAAACCAAGTTTTTAAAATGCATTTACATAAACTGATTTTTCTGACCTCCAGTAGTTCTTCCAGATGTCACCTCTAAAATAACATCACTTTTGTCATATTTCTCCTTTGGCACTAGCTGCTCCAAAAGCTAGAAAAGAAGGAAAATGCAATCACTGGTATATTACTACTTGAAGTTAAGTCAAAGCCCTCAGTATATTTTAGAAGTCAGCAATTAACAAAACCATGAACTATCCCAAGAAGGTAAGTCCTAAAACTGTAGCTTAAGTAACCTAATTAGATAATCAGTTCACATAACAATAAAGTTACTTGTTTGAGTATTTTCTGCAATGTTAACAGATTATCTTCATTTTCTAAAATGAAGCTAATTATGATCAAAGTTCAGAGTGTTCCATTCAACTTTGTTCAGATTTTGCTTCTTAAAATTAGTTCTAAACAGTGGCATCTTTCATCTGATAAATGTAACAAGGCTTTGAAATCTTCATTTACTCCAAATGAAGACATCTGACATATAATTGCATAGTCTCCCCTGTCATAAACGATAGTCAGCTCTATGCCACACCTTACATTCTTGGTGGGCTCATTCTGTTTAAAGACTATGTTAAGGGGACTCAAGATAAAAGATTCAAACAGTTTCTCACATGTGACAAGAAAAAAAAGAGTGGGGGGCGGTCCTGGGTTCCTAATAAAGTAAAGCGTTTCCCTCCTAGGAAGAATAGGCAAACAATCTCCCGGTTACTAAAAGGTCTTTCAAATCAAACTAAATGTACCTACATGTTATGACTCTCCTCCCTACTGACAATGTCTGGTTGTGAGCCTAGCCTTTAATGGCTGAGCCATCTCTCCAGCCCCCACTGCCAATTTCTGATACACTCCATCTCTGCTAGATATGATAGTTTGTGGGAGAGAATGTTAGAGTGTCAGCTATGTTGTGCCTTTGGTTCACTAGGTGACATCTCTATTCATCCTTCTAAGTCCTCAAAATCTGGAGAGACTATGATGATAACTACAACTGAGGGCAACATGGTACATAGCACTATGGTCTTCACTGTCTTTAACAACAAACTACCTATTGAACTAGAAAAAGCAAAAAGGTCACTATTATAGAATTTGCCCTTCATAACTACAGTATTGTCTACAGCAGACACCGTATCATGATCCCTGGAAGTCCCCAGCATGCCACAGCCTTACTAGCCCCAACTAAAGACCTGTGCTAACTAGCTGGCACTACACTTAGGTTCACTCCATCACAGTCAGCATGCAGGTTTTCAATCCGACACAATCACCAGGAACCTACCTATTCGCTTCTAACACTTAAAACCATCTGACTTGTCCCCATGGTGTCTACATTTCTTTTTAAGATTTTACTCATTTATTTTATTTGTGTGTGTATGTGTGTGCTCATTTTATATACATGCCCCTCGGGTGTTGGAGGACAACTCAAGGGAGTTAGTTCTCTCCTGTCGCCTGTCTGATACAGAAGAACTCGGGTGTGTACAGACCATCTGCTGAGCCATCGATTGGTCTCCTAAATTTCCTTCCTACAGTATTATGTTTTCCTGCCTAAGAAGTCAATAGATTCTGCTATGATTTTCCTCTCCCTCTGGGAGTCCCCCATTCACTGACATCCCAGTTCTCTTCCAAGGATCCTCCAGCAAACTGTACTAAGTATAGCCTAATTACTCATCGTGTTAAAAAGAACACCATTAGAAGCTATTTTGAGCATCAAAGCATAATCTAGAAAACAATACTATTCCTTCATATTAGCACTACTGAGATTAGTATATTGCCTGAAACATACCTCACTATACAGTGTGTTGATCTTTTGATCAATGATTTGCCTTTCTTCTGATACAAGTTCTTGCAACTGCTTTTCGTCTTGTTTATGTAGAGCTAAAACCAGCAACAGAGAGAGTAATAAGTTCTTTTAAAAATTCTTACAGAGCTAGTATTAAAAACTATCTCATCAATGTCTACAAAGTTTTTTGTTTGTTTTGGGAGTGCAGTCCAGGCTGGCCTTGACCTCTGTCTTTCTGCCTCAGTCTCCTGAAACCCAGCCTTGGGGGTGAGGGGAGTCCCTGCAAATATTACAGCTGATAGAGAAACAAACTTCAAGAAGCAAGAAGGAAACCTGGTTCAGTATGACTTAGCCAGGCTGGTTCCTACTTCTGGAGTCTGACACCAGGCCAGTTTATTTTACTTATTTAAGTACAGTACAATTTTGGAGAAAAGTTTCCTGGTAACAATTATCCCATGTGTAAAATAAAGCTTAGGGCATGACTACATTGAGACTCTATTGCAAAACACATGTCAGAAGTACATCTTACAAAGTAAGACGGGTTCTATAGCTTACGGGTCTTAATCGTGCAGACAATGTAGGGATCAGCAGACTAGAAAGCACACACGACAGCTCCCCTAAGCATGGGTTCTACTGACTGTGAAACTAAGATAAAGGTCGAGGGAGGCAGATTTGGGTGAGACCTGGCCCTACATATAGCAAAGGCCACTGGGTTATTACCAATATCCACTCCCAGCCTTCTGGATGGAAAACAGGTATACATTTCCTCCACTGAGAACATTCCTAGTTTCTCCATTGTTAATCTGTGAGCATGTGTGCTGTCTACACCTGTCTCAAAAACAAATAGCATAGCTAACTCTTTAAAAAAAAAAAAAAAAAAAAAACAAAGTAGCTATGACATATAAAATACAAAGCTTTCTCTGAGATTCTCACAATGTGTGGTGTCATCTAGCAGTGTCCACCAAGCCTGTCTGGTTTTGAGGGCTGAGATGCTCTTTAGAACACTATGTATCTCTCAAGTAGACTAGGGATCATATCATCAATAACACATATATTCTCTCATATTACATCATACGAGCCCTGCAATGGCTCCTAAATGTAGAACTGGGCTTAGTAAATTGCTTAGGATGATATCGAGTCTGCCAGACTCTAAACCTCTTGGTGAGTACCACGAAGAGCCTGGACTCTTAGCAGACCCTGAGCAACTGAAATACGTCAAACACCAAGTGAGGATACAGTCCTCTTACCAAGTATTGAGCTTATTATCTGTAGGTTTTTTAAAAGACAGAACTCAAAATTCAATCAGTTATATACGTATATGCCCATAGATATCATTTACCCACTTTTACACATTGACTCTAATTCTTCAATGGCTTGTTCGGCCTCCTGAATTTCTTGATAAATAGCTGCAAGTGGTGCCAATTTGGCATGCCTTCTGCATAAGGCCCTTCGGCTGTCTTCATTCCCAGAGATATCCTGCAAACACCCATCAAGGGTTTGGTACTCTTCATTCAGGCCTTCCATATACTTCTGTAGGGCTTTATGTTTCCAAAGCATCTTTGGATCTTGATGACAGTAGCTCCTGGACCAACTCTTATTTAATACCTGATGGAGAACATGACTCTTGTTTTGTTTAAAATCCCACAGTCTTGTATCAAGACTTATCTGTCTAAACCGCTGACAATAGAGGAAGACATGTCTCCGGGTGTAAGATGGATTCCGAAAAAGATGAATACACAGGTGATGACTCATCTCAGCAGCTGTAATGTAAGATATACAATTTGAAAAGAGCAATTCTAAAGATATATGGTACAATAAAACTAGGAGTTTCAGAGAAACCTTTAGATCATGGCCTCATTGGGCTCCAAAGACAGGCTATAACTCAGAAAGAGACACACACACACACACACACACACACACACACACACACACGTGTATATATATATATATAGAGAGAGAGAGAGAGAGAGAGAGAGAGAGAGAGAATTTATTTTATTTAGAGAGTGAGTCTCATTATATAGCTCTTGAACTCACTCTGTAGACCAAGATGGCCTTGAACTCAGAGATCTGCCTGCCTCTCCTCCCAAATGGTGGGATTAAAGGGAAAGTGCCACCAGGCTGAGCCCACAAAGAAAATTCCTGAAACCTCTAAATAACAGTATATTAAAACAAGTGAGGGACCAGCAAAATAGCCCAGAGAACAGAACTGCCTACAGCTAAGTCTGATAACTTCTGAGTTCAATCCTGGGACACACATGATGGAAAGAGATACCTGTGCTATGGCATGTACACCTCACACATTTGTACATGCACACAAAAAAAGTAATCTTACATATGCAGTTAACTAGGAAAAGTGAGTAGGGCTGTAACTAACAGACACATCACCACAATAGGTTAGGGCAGTTTTAACTTTAAATGAGTATGTAAACAAACACTTAAAAGCTATAAAATAGCCAAGCAGTGGTGGTTTGTGCCTTTATTTCCAGCACTTGGGAAGCAGAGGCAGGGGCATCTCTCTGAGTTTGAGGCCACTCTAGTCTACAGAGTGAGTTCCCGGATAGCCAGTGCTACACAGAGAAACCATGCCCCAGGGAGGTGGGGGGAAGAAAACCTCCACCACTAACAACAAACAAACAAACAAACAAAAAACAAAACAAAACTAGGGGCAGGAGAGACAGCTCAGCAGTTAAGAGCCCTGGCAACTCTTCCAGAAGTCCTGAGTTCAATTCCCAGAAACCACATGGTAGCTGGGAATCTGTAATGAGACCTACAGCCCTCTTCTGGCCTGCAGGCATGTATGCATGCAGAACACTATAATAAATAAATAAATCTTTAAAAACCCAAAAATCAAAAAGCTATAAAATAATGATGCAGTCTTTACACCTAAAGTCATAGATTTCTGGTCTAAGGAATATATTAACATGTCATCTATTATGCAGTCTAATTTATTGTTTATAAAAGGGTTTTGCTACACAGCTCAGACTGGCTTCAAACTGGGGCCTATTGCTTCAGCTTCCCAAATGTTAGATCACAAATGTAAGTCAACATGTCTGGATAAACTTAAATGAGCAATTTTATTGTACCTATTAATTTATTTTTAAAATTTTATTATTATTATTAGAGAAAGTGTGTGTGTTTGTGTGTTAAGAAAGGAAGGGAGGGAGCAAGAGAGATAGAGGTAACTGACCCCAGGGCCTTGCACGTGCTAGGGAAGTACTTTGTTTTAATTGTTTAGTTTCAGGGCATTCAGATGTGAAAGAAAGACAGGTAACTTAATCACAACTACTCACTCACTCACTGGACAGAGGCACAGCCTGTATTATAGGTTGTTTATTCCAAGGTCAGAGTTTTTCACTCTCAGCCCTGTGATCACTTCTTGAGGGTACTTCTCTTTCAGCTGAGAACCTACAGGAAGAGATTAAATATTAAAAACATTAAAAGACCACATGGTGGGGCTGGAGAGATGGCTCAGAGGTTAAGAGCACCAACTGTTCTTCCAGAGGTCCTGAGTTCAATTCCCAGCAACCACATGGTGGCTCACAACCATCCGTAATGAGATCTGATGCCCTCTTCTGGTGTGCAGATATACATGGAAGCAGAATGTTGTATACATAATAAGTAAATAAAATCTTTTTTTTTTTTAAAAAAAAAAAGACCACATGGTGGTTTTCAGATAACTCCTATTTTTCCAAGTCTTTTACACAGTACACACTATTTTCATAATTTTAAGAGTGCAGAAGATTGCCAAGCTGGAGATATTTTTGACAGCTAAAAAATACTTGCTCTTCTTGCCTCTGGCTGGGTACCAATCATGTATGTGGTGCACATACATACATGCTGGTACTCACACACACAAAATATAAATTTCTTTAAAAAATAACATTTAGGTGAAATTGGCTATGTACAATAATTATGTGTTCTTCCCTCAGATAATCGAGAGCTAACAGTAGAATACTATGACTTTATTGAGCAAGAGAGGGAACACAAAGTTTTCTAAGAAAGACATTTTGCCTCCTGAAATTAAAACTGGAAATAAGGGCAGGAATTTAGCATAATGGCATGGGGATAAAGCTCAGTGATACACCACTGGCCTAACAAGCACAAAAAATTACCATAAGCAACTACAAGTGTTGCTATGCTGGGCAACACATTTATATATAAGACCCCTGGATCTCACTAAATATAGCTAACAGCCTTATCATTTAAAAATTTAAATATTCAGAATAATCAGCGTTTGCTGAGTTTTACTATAAATTTAACAAATTATTAATCACAGCTGAATTGGCGAATACATCAGAAGAAGTGTCTATCTGACCGTGAGAATGAAGGACAGTGATATTTTTAAATAATAGTTTAGGCTAAAATTTCCATTTTAGGAGCAGCCATGGAATGAGAATTATCAAGGCCAGAAACTTTAATGTTCCTTTCTAAGGTTACCTAAACCTAGAATGAGCAAGGCTTCGACATAACCCCCACAACACAGGAATCCTCAGTCTCTGGCATGCTGAAAGTGATACTAAATGGGAGGCAGGAGCAGAATGGGAAAATCATATTGTATAAATCAGCATTATGGAGCATTCTATACGGAACACCAGTGGGCAGTGGCAAGATAAAGAGTTTTTAAGGTCAAGAAAGAACTGTGAATACCTAAGTAAAAGAAGAAAAACGACGTTCTCGTTTCTTGCTGGTAACTGAACCTTCTATGTCCCCAACATTTCTGCTCAAGCTACTGCAAACATGCTCCTTTCCAGGCTACTGCTTCCGGGTTACGTTTGTCCTTGGCTCCTCCTCCATTTTGACGCTTCTTGCAGAAAAGTGGTCCTTAGGTGTCCGTAACAGTAAACAAAAGAAATGGCGAGGCAGGAAGGCGATTCTTCTGGGTAGCCCACGCGCCGAACTTATTTGGAGCGGAAGGCCAGGAGGTGTAGGGGCCAGAGGGAGCCAGAAGGGAGCGGCTCGCCCTCTCCCTTTCCCTGAACAAGGAATCCTGGGAGTTGTAGTTTATCTTTCCCCAGACTGTTTTGATTGCACCCTAAGCCCTGTGCTCCATCCTCCACTATAAACTTAAGTTTTTCTGTTACTTGCAAACCTAGAAGCGAGTTTTTCCTAATTTAAATAGTAAATTCTACAATATGTTATAGGTAAGATAGCAGGAATTTATTTATGTGTTACAAACCCTTAAAGCAGTAGTTTCTAAGTTATTTTTTCTGAGTGCAGAAGTTGAAGCTAGGAACTCACACGTATTAGACAAGAGCGCTACCATTGAGCTATATCCACAGACTTGAGGGCTTTTTTTAGAAGTGGGTTGGTTTTTCAAGACAGGGTTTCTCTGTGTAACAGCTCTGGCTGTCTTGGAACTTTGCTCTGTAGATCAGGCTGGACTCAAAGTCACAGAGATCCACGTGCCTCTGCCTCCCGAGTGCTGAAACGAAGGGCGTGTGCCACCACAGCCCAGTTTGAGGACTTGTTTTTTAAATGGAAAATTTCTTTTAATCATTAAAAATTTTAGGTGAGGGGCTGGAGAGATGGTTAAGTGGTTAATGCTTGCCTTTGCCTCCTGAGTGCTGGGATTGAAAGCATGTGCCACCAACACCCGTCAAAATTTACATTTTGAAATGTTTAATCAAAGGGAAAAGAAAAGCTAGTCAGGATTACATAGCAAGACCTTGTACAAAAAGAAAAAGAAAAAGAAAGAAAAGAAGGTGGGAGAGGAGGAAAAATAAAAAAATAAAATACAACAAACATACAATTCACTATTCTAAATGGTTTAAACCTATTAATGCATGCATTTCTACAACAGCCTTAACCACCCATTTGCCCATTTGCAGAAGAGAAAACTAAAGCACAAATGCATTTAAGGAGACAAGCATGATGGCTCACACTTGAAATCTTACCACTCAGGAGGGAAGGTAGGTAGGAGGCTAGAAGCCATTCTGAGCTACATAGTGTCAGACCAACCTGGGCAACAGAGAGTCCCTGTCTCAAAAAACACAAGCCCAGGAACATAGAGATTAAGAATTTGACATCTGCTGATGGGTGGTGGTTTCCATGGTTTCAGTTCTTGGCCACCTTATTTTGGAGCCTGTGGCAAGACAGAACGTTATAGCAGGGAGTATGTTGTTAAGTCTGTTCACCTCATAATAACTGGGAAGAAAAGGAAAGAGAACAGGGGCCAGCACTCTAGTGTTGCCTTCTAGAATATACCCCTATATCTAACTTCCTCCAGAAGTTTCCACCATTCCCAAGAATCTCAGGTTGAATGCAATATGCAACCTAGTAAATTGTTTTAATTACTTTTCTGTTGCAGTGAAGAGACAACAAAGTCAAGGTTTAACTGGGGACTTGCTTATAGTCCCAGAAGGTGAGTCCATGACCATCATGGTGTGGAGCATGGCAGCAAACAGGCAGGCATGGTGCTGAAGCAGTAGCTGAGAGCTTACATGCAGAGACAACAACCATGAGGCAGAGTGAGAGCTAACTAGGAAAGATACGGGTTTTTGAAACCTCAAATCCCACCCCCCAGTGATAGTAACACACATTCTCCAACAAGACCCCACCTCCTATTCCTTCCCAAACAATTCCGCCAACTGGGAACCAAGTGTTCAAATATATGAGCCTATAGGAACAGGATTATTTTCATTCAAACCACAGTTGTCTTCCTACCAGCCTTCAATAGCATGGTTAATCTGGTTGTGAGAACAGTAACAAACCCCTAGATTTTACCATGACTGCTAGTCACATGCAATATGTATATAGTGTGCAGAAAAACATCCCTTTTCAATTACTTTGTCTTCCCTGGCTCTACTAGGCATAACAAAGAGAATCATGGTCCACATGGTGTATGTAAAAATGAATTGGGAGCTCTGGGAGGCCCTCATTGTTGTTATTGTTATTATTTTACTTAATGCAAGGTTCTAAAGGAGGTACAGTCTGTTTGAAGTGTCAGGAAAGAATGCTTGCTGGAAACCCCAGATGCTCCCACACAGGATTGGGCTTTCTTCATGAGAAACATTGGATTCTGATTTACACAGCATTTTTCTTTTAATTTTGGCTTTAAAATGACTAAACATTAAATTCATATAACCCTGCTGTAAAACAGATTACAATAATGTTATAGCTCCATTTCCTGTCGAAAGGTAGAAATAAGATTTGTTCCAGACAAAAGAGGAAGCCAGTAATAAAATTATAGCTATTGCTTCACTTAGGCTTTCTGGTTGTGCCAAGACTATATCTTTTTATATATTCTAAGATTTGGGCTTAAAACTGCCAGCAACATAACTGGTGGAGGTATGTGTTTTGCTTTAATTTCTGTCCTCTTGTCTTAATGCCACCATAGCCTAAACAACTAAGGTAGGCATGGAAGAGAGATGAAGACAACGGTAAGTTTGAGTATTTCTAATTACCCACCTCCTAGCATTTGGCATGTTAGGTTTCCTTTGACCTGGGAGAGGCTGCAGTGGGGTCATCACAGGGAAAGGGAGAAGCTGGAAGTGGTGACCGGTGGCAAAATGCAAATGATGAACCAGCATGAGTTGCATGGTTGAAAGGTGGGAGGAAGCCATGGTGAATGAAGGTGATTGTTTGTGGGCCACCAGCCAAGTCTGAAATCATTAGTGACCTATAGTTAGTAGGCGGGCTGAGGCCATAGGACACTTTCCATAATAAGTAAATTCTCCAAAAGTAATGTAACCGTGTGTGTGTGTGTGTGTGTGTGTGTGTGTGTGTGTGTGTGTGTGTGTGTGTGTGTGTGTTCACACGTTCAGGTGCCTGAGGAGGGTAGAAGTGAGCACTGAGTTCCCTGGAGCTGGAGTTAAAGGTGGCTGCTGCGTGCTGGGAACCGAACTCAGGTCCTCTTGAAAAGCTAGCATTTGACTGCTGAGCCATCTCTTCAGGTCTGCCTGGCCTTTAAAAAATTGGGTTCTGGAGAGTGAACTCAGGTTCTCATGTTTACAGGCTGAGCCATTTCGAATTTCCTGTAGCTTCCTCCGTGCCCCCCTCACCCTCTTTAAAAAGACAGATTCTCACTACATACTCTAGGCTGCCCTTGGACTTGTAATCTTCTTGCCCTTGATTTTCCAGTGCAATTATTGTAGACACATGCTGCCAGCCTAGGCTTTTCTTTTAAATGCCATGGCCTTTTAAAATCAGGCCTTGAAGAGAGGCCTTTGACTTAGCTCAGGGACATACCCGAATATGCTATGGGAGTCAAGGGATGGCCCAACTTTTTCACTGGAGCTTCGGTCTTACCAAGGTTAACTCTTTGCTCTTGAGGATGTTAATAAATTGGGAGTTGAATAATTTTCAGGCATTAGTAATACACTAGTGATCAAACAGTCATGCGGACTGTGGAAACATGTTGGCTGGAGGGCACTGTAGCAGGGCAGCCTCCAGTTTATGTGCAACTCAGTCAAGCACGTGATGTGGTCCTTCTGATGTACTTCCTCTGGAATTGTTGGTTTTGACTATTTTCTGTAGAGAAAACATAAGCCCATCTGTAGCCCCAACCCCTTCTTTCCAGTTAGACTTTCAACTATTTTCTCCTTCCCCCTTTCCCAGTTAGTCTTGCAATTATTACAATTAACTTTCTCTAGTAAGAATTAAACACAATAGCTTTCTTTGTGATATTTGCATACATTAATATTATTGTATTTTGCTCATACTAATGTCCCCATTATCTGCCTTTGCCTACTTCCCTCTTCCCACAGGTCCCTTCCTCCTCTAGTTGCCATTCTGCTTTCATAAGACACACACACACACACACACACACACACACACACACACACACACACACATATGTACACATATATGTATATAATATACACATACACATAAATGCTTGTTTTTAAGTCTAGGTTCTGAATATGAGAATAGATTGCATGTCTGTTTTTCTTCTCCATTATCCTCTCTTGTTCCCTTATTGCCTTCTCTCTTTTTTAAAGATTTATTTATTATGTATATAGTCTCCTGCCTGCATGTACTCCTGCATGAGAAGAGGGCAACAGATCTCACTTTAGATGGTTGTGAGCCACCAAGTGGTTGCTGGGAATTGACCTCAGGACCTCTGGAAGAGCATCCAGTGCCCTTAACCTCTGAGCCATCTCTCCAGCTCCTATTGCCTTCTCTTTATACCCCTCCCTCTCCTCAAAAAATGCTCCTACTTTCATGTCATATACGTGTCTGTGAATATGTATATATTTAAATCTAGATTCACATATAAGAAAAGTCATATTTGTCTTTTTATCTAGTTTATTTCACATAACACTATCTCCATTTCTATGCATATCCTGTAAATGGCATAATTTCATTTTTCCATACAGCTGAATAAAATTCCATAATGTGTACATGTTACTTTTTCTTCTCCTGCTCATTTGTTGATTGGCATTGCTTCTATATCTTGACTATTGTAAGTAGTGTGACAATGGATATGCAAGTTATCCCTGTAGTGTACTTAGACTCCTTCAGGTGTATATGTAGGAGTTAAATAAGTGGATATGACAGATTTTATGTTTTTTGAGGCACCTCCATAATTTCCACAGTGGCTATCATACTATTTTAGGTCTGTTTTTTTGTTTGTTTGTTTGTTGTTTTGTCATTACTGTGATAAAAATACTCTGGCAAAAACAAGGGAAGGGATAAAAGGCTTATTTTGGTTTATAATTCCAGGTTACAATCTATCATTTGGGGAATTCACTGCCTCGGGAGCTTGAGGGAGCTAGTTATATCACGGTCACAATCAAGAACAGAGAACGATTAGTACAAGCATGCTTGCTATTGCTCAGCTTGATCTCTTCATTTTATACATCCAGGATAACAGCCCTGGGAATGGTGCTACCCACAGAGCCTGGAGCTTCCCACTTAAGTAACCTCATCAAGATAATCTTGCACAGACATAGCCAGAGGCTCATCTTCCATCTCCAGAGTCTGTCATGTTGACAGTTCACACTAATCATCATGATCAGACTACGTTCCTATCAGCAGTGTATAAGGGTTCTTTGCCAGCATTTGTTGTCCTTTGTTTCCTTAATGATAGCCATTCTGGCTTGGGCAAAAAGGAATCTCAGTGTGTTACAGCGATACATATGGGAGGGTCTGTATCTGGACCAGGTCTTTGCAGGATCTTGGCATTTTGTTTAGAAAATTGAAGAAGCTCCTGCAGAAGCAAGGACCTTTATTTAGAAGCAAAGCAACAGTACACACCAGGTTCCCTGCAAGTGAGTAGGTTCATGGGGTTGGAGTTTTCATGGACATAAGCTATTGTTTGAGGCTACCTTTATGGTGTCTAGGACGAGTTGATTGCTAAGGGTTGGGTATGAGTTATTCTCTTTTGATTGATAAGCTTGGATTACTTAAGCGTTTTCATACCATGCATGTCCATTCCCATGGTGTCTCTGGTTTTGCTTTTATGCACTCCCAATTGTGCATAGCTATAACATGGTAAACAGAAATTCCCCCCTAGAAATCCACTCTGAGTACACCTTTGTCCTTGGGTACACATTACTATGCATGTACCCCAAACTAGCAGAAGCTGGATCAGCCCCCTGCCTCCTGTTCGCAGATTTGTTTTGAGACATATTTTAAAAATGGGGCATTTCCATAATGTTGTCAAGGAGAAGCACTTCACTTCATTGTTGGAAGTGGGGTGTACTTGCAGTTCAGTAGGGCTGCTGAATGCATTTCTGGGAAGGGGGACTGTATGTGGAGCTCAAGGCAAATGGTGTCACAGATGGTTAGGCTATCCCTGTGCTTGTGTGCCTCAAATGAAGTTTTAATTTCTATTTTCTTGATAGCTATGGAGGTGAAATACCTTTTCATATACTTATTATTTTCTTCCTTTGGAAATCATCTATTAATTGACTATGTATAACTAGCAAAAGTTTTTCTTCCAATCTGTAGGTTTTTGCCACTCTACTGATTATTTTATTTGCTCTGCGGAAGGTTTTTAATTTTATGCAATGCCATGATTGCAATTATTTCCTGAGCTACTGGTGGATCCCATCTTTAATAACTATTCCCTTCCTATTTTATTTATATTTTAACGGTTTATTATTTATTATTGCTAATTATTATTTTGAAAGTGTCTTACTATATAGCCCTGGCTAGTCTGGAACTAGCTGTATATGTGAGGGTAGCCTTGAATTCAGAGATCAGCCTGATAAGTGCTGGGATTAAATATGCATACTGCCATGCTGGCCTTTATTATTAATAAATAAATAAATAAATAAATAAATAAATACTTTTTAAGACAAGGTTTCCTCTGTGTAGCCTTGGCTGTAGACCAGGCTGGCCTTGAACTCACAGAGATCTGCTTGCCTCTGCTTCCCAAGTGCTGGGACTAAAGGTGTGCACCACCACCACCGCCAAGCTTATATTTATTATTTTTTAATAGTGTGTGTGTACCCATGTAAATGCAGGTGACCAAGGAGGCAGAAGAGGCCCTGACTCCCTGGGGCTGTAGTTACAGACAGCTGTAAACTGCCAGATATGGGTCTTAGGAATGCAACTCAGGCCTTTGCAAGAGTAGTAGTTTGGTTTTTTTTTTTTTTTAATTGAGACAGGGTTTCTCTGTGTAGCTTGGGAGCCTATCCTGCCACTCACTTTGGAGACCAGACTGGCCTCGAACTCACAGAGATCCACCTGCCTCTGCCTCTCAACTGCTGGGATTAAAGGCATGTGCTACCAAGGCCTGGCACATGGACTGCTCTTACAGAGCACTTGGGTTTGGGTTCCAGCACCCACACAGTGTCTGACCACCATCTTTGACTCCAGTCCCAGGGACTTCCTCTGGCCTCCTCAGGTATTGCACCATCGATACACGGAGGCAAAACACCATAAACATTTAAATTTATTTTTTTCAAATAAAGGGTGGGACAAAGGGTCCAAAGGATAAAATAGAAACTATATTAGTTACTTCTCTTGATGTGGCAAGACAATGGATTTCAGAAGCAACTTAAGAGGGCTTTATTCTGACTCCTGGTTTAGAGAGCACAGTTCATCATAGAAGGGAAGGCATGGCCAGGATATCCACTTCTGGGGCAATGGGAGGATAGGGCTGCTTGCTTTACATCTCTCTGCAGAGCAGCAAACAGAGCTCCGGTCCACCTGAAGTCGATTTGCCCTATAACCCTCTGTGACTCTAGTCTTCTGGCTGCCACCCGGGCCTCCCATTGAGAAGGTTCCAGGGCCTAACAATACATAGCATCACCAGATGGAGATCACATATTAAAACACAGGGTATGTATGTATGTATGTATGTATGTATGTATGTATGTACATATGTATCAAGACAGGGTTTCTCTGTGTAACAGTCCTGGCTGACCTGGAGCTCACTCTGTAGATCAAGCTGGCCTTGAACTCACTGAGATCCCCCTGCCTGTGTCTCCCAAGTGCTGGATTAAAGGCGAGTGCTACTATTGCCCAGCCAAATACCGGAGTTTATAGGGCACATTTCACACTCAAAAACATAAATAAATTTAACTATTAACTTGTCTATTGAGAAGACATTGAAAGTAAGTTACAATTTGTCTTATTTTAAATAAACACAATGTTATTTATTTTTGAGACATTCTCACTCTGGCACCCTGGCTGGCCTGGAACCCCCTTTGTACACCAGGATGACCTTGGACTCAGATATCTGCTTGCCTCTGCTGGGATTAAAGTCACGTGACACCATACCCAGAATATTTATGTGTCTGTCTTTTTGAGAATCTGAGAAAATCTATTCATTCCTCAAAAAAGGCCCATATTCATAATTTATTACTTCAGGTGTGTCTTAACACTTTGATAGCTCATCAGACCTGAAGTTAAAGCAGGATTTCTCCCTTCAGTACTTCATTATTTTTAACAAATGTTAATGTTAATTTTAGCCAGTATGTTGAATGCATAAGAAATTACAAAAAGGACTTTCAGTTGAGTAACAAGAACTTTTGAGAACCAACAAGAGAAATAAATGCAAATTAATAAAAGGACTGCCAGGCATGGTGGTGAATGCCTTTAATCCCAACACTCAGGAGGTAGAGGCAGGCGGATCTCTATGAGGCCAGCCTGATCTACAGAGCGAGTTCCAAGAGAGCAAAGGCTTTATAGAGAGACACTGCCTCCAAAACAAACAAAACCCAAATCAACAAACAAAAAACAAACCCACAAAAGGGGGAGGATGCTGAGAACTGGCATGGTGGTTGAGAGTACTCATTGTGGGGGCTGGAGTCATAGCTCAGTGGTTAAGAGCATGGGCTGCTGTTCCCAGAGATCTCAGGTTCAATTCCCAGCGCCCATGTGGCATCTTGCAACTGTCTGTAACTCCTGTTCCAGGGGAGCTGACACCTTCACACCGATGCACATAAAAAAGTTAAAATTAGATTTTTTTTTTAAGACCTGAGTTTTCCCACCAGTACCCACATGGAGGCTCACAACCACAAACTGAAACTCCAGCTGCATAAGATCTGACATCCTCTTCTGACTTCACTGGACTCCTGCACACATGTGGTACACATATGTACACTTACACACACATTAAATACCAAAAAAAAAAAATGTGGTTCACAGAAGCGGTTACATCTCAGAGTTGTACAAAAGAGGCAAAATTTGGTGCAGAACAAGAGGACTTCTTTTTTTTTTCAAATAACATTTGTTACTTGGATATATGTCACTAAACTTTGTCATATGTTGATTTTAAGGAACATGGAGGCTGGGCATGGTGGTACACACCTTTAATTCTAATGAGGTAGAATTAAAAAAGAGTAATTATTAAACACTGATTTACTGATTTTATTAGTGATTTACTTAAATCCCTGCTTGTTCTACCTATTGCCAAACAATACTTTACTGGGACTGTACTCAGAAGATCATCACACTCTTTCTCCAATGTGTCATAATTTAAAGTATTTCCCTTCTCAAGGAAATCAATGGTAAAGCTACAATAGTCACATACCAAAGCAATTCTTAGTTACATGCTTTACACTGTCCCACAAAAAATAATTCAGTTGCTCCTAGGCCCTCATGCAAGGCACTTCAGAGCACCCGCACAACGTGCCCATGTAAACAGCCGTGCAGTCCATCTTAAAACAACATGGCTCACACACAGCTTGACCTAGACTCGAGGAAAAATAAGATCCATCGTTACCACAGCTAAAAAGCATGTTAAAATTCACAAGAAACTGCTTCTCTTATTATTCATAGAACAGGCTACATAACCTCTGTGGAATATAAAAACCTTATGGACAATCAATAAACAAAGCAAAAAAAAAAAAGCAAAAAACAAAACTACAAAAACCTCATGGACTTTTCATACTGCAAAACCAGCATGCTTGGGTATGTGCCAAGTCAGAATATTCATGAGTGATCAGGAGTGAATGCAATAGGCATTTCTGAATACCCAGTTTTAATATCACACAACCCTAGTAGACTAGGGTATTTGTAGCACCATGGAAAATGCATTAGAAACAAGAAAGGTACTAATTCCAGTCAACCTTTTCATTGAGGTTCATTCACTTAGTCTACAGTAACAAACAGTAGAGACAAATAAAATTTCTTTCTTTTTTATTTAAATTAGAAACAAGATTCTTTTACTTGTCAATCCCAGATCCCTCTCTCTCCCCTCCACCCCTGCCCACCGCCCCCTCCCCTGCTCCCCACCGATCCCTCCCCCCACCCGTTTCACCCGTTTCTGCTCCCCAGGGAGGGTGAGGCCTTCCATGTGGAATCTTCAAAGTCTGTCAAATCATTTGGATCAGGGCCTAGGCCCTGTCCCCTGTGTCTAGGCTGAGAGAGTGTCCCTCCATGTGGAGTGGTCTCCCAAAAGTCCATTTGTGTATTAGGGGTAAATACTGATCCACTACCAGTGGCCCCGTAGATTGTCCAGACCTCCAAATGACCTCCTCGTTCAGGGGGTCTGGAACAGTCCTATGCTGGTTTCCCAGCTCTCAGTCTGGTGTCCAATACTTTTTAAATTATTGACTAGTTAGTTTTAACTAGCAAGGAGACGGTGGCCTCACAACCGCATTAACACTGCAGTGTCGAGGCAGAGCTCAGAAGACCGTGGTGAAGCATGGCTTCCTTCTCCCTGCTCCCGTGTCCCACAGTTATTAAAGGAAGGAATCTCGTCTGTAAATGACTGTCATCCACTGCCCATTTGGATCACCACCTCAGCTCTGCACTGTCAGCGGTTAGCAAAGCTTCAAGGTTCAGTCTGACACCGGTTTTCACTGTAAGCACCGCCAAACGCTGCTTCATAGCCGGGATCATACTCTTCTTCCTTGACAACCATCTTCTTTGCATCCTCTTGTGCGAGCTGTAGGTCAAACGTGTACTGCACCTCCTGAACGTCTGTGTTCCGTTCAGTGCCTTTCAGCTGGTCTCTCAGGTCCTTCAGCTTAATGTAGTAATGAACCTTGTCCTGGGCTCGAGGAAACTGAGCGCACCTGGCACTGGAAGACGGCATGACGTAGCAGAGAGTTTCTGTGTCCGGGATCTTGTGGGGCTGAAGCCCAAATTCCAAGTTCTTAACCTTTACTCCAAAAACTTCTTTACTGAAAATTTCGTAAATACATTTGCCATTAAACGCCGCTATTTTTGGCTGGTATTTCTGCAGTTTCTGCACTAGGATTCTCCCTCCTTCTCGGAATTCTTTGCTGGACAGATCCTTGCTGCCCGGCGTCGTCCGTTCTACCATGTTGGTGAAGCCAATGCCGTACTTCCCGGGTAAGGTGTAGTCATCCATGTGATTCAGCTGGACCTCACTCAGTCCTGACATGAACAGACACTTCCAGAAATGGTTACCAGGTCCAGGGTAATGATGCCCTGTGTAAGCAGCCATTAATCCTGGGTTAATGCCAATGATCACAATGTCCAGATTGAAGGTTAAAATATCAGGAAGGGTCTTGGTCAAAAGCTCAGCCTCAGAAACACCGTTGAAACGGTCCACCTTTCTTTTCACTTTAAATGTGTCTGTAATTTTTCCTTGTTTTTCTTTTGACTTTATGGACTTGTCAGATTTTTTTGGCCTGGCACGTTTTTTGGGTTCCACTGGGTCCTTGGGTTCTGACGCTCTGGCTTTTCTTTTCCTTCTGTTTGGAGCCTCTGGTACAGGTTCCTGGGCAGGAGCATCTGCGGACATCTTCTCTTCAGTCGTGACCGACATATTAGGAGCTTCAGCCATCATTTGCTGAAATGGAAATGAATAAAAAGCTTGAACGTGCTCCAGAGAATAGCTGCGCACGCCCTCTGCATCCAAGGCGGCGCCGCTGAGGGGGCGGCCGCAGCTGCCAGGCCACGGGCACACCCTCAGAGGGACTGAGCACCTGATCACGGTTTATAGTTGTATTTTTTCTATGACAATCATACCTGCTTTAAAACCCACACCTAGGCCGGGCGTTGGTGGCACACGCCTTTAATCCCAACACTCGGGAGTCAGAGGCAGGTGGATCTCTGTGAGTTCAAGACCAGCCTGGTCTACAAGAGCTAGTTCCAGGACAGCCTCCAAAGCCACAGAGAAACCCTGTCTCGAAAAACCAAAAAACAACCAAAAACCCACACTCCTTATTTTGATAGAGAACCAAACAAGTGGAGAAAGAGTAGTGCCGGGGTAGTTATTGTGTTTCTTTTGGTGGTGGCACACTCCTGTAATCCCAGAATTCTAGATGCAGAGACAGGAGGATCCTGCACTACAGGCCGGGCCTAGGCTACATAGCCAGTACTTGTCTAAACAAAACCCACAAAAAGTAAAATCAAAACAAGCAAAAGACCAATAAGACACACACACACAAAACAAAGCAATAAGAAACAAGAACTCCACAAAAATATCGTTTTGTTCTAACTTAAATCTTACTGTATTGTAATCCTCTCCCCAGCACCTCCAGAGGATCCTATAATCTTGATTATCAAAAAAGTAGGAAAGATAAAGAAAAATGTTTTAGTAGTCCTTTGAAATGCAACCAGAATCATATAGGTGCCTGCTAAGACACTAAAGCATATCTCTCTATTGAGGAGGAGACACTACACTTGCTTAAGCCTCATTCTTTCCACGAATGTTCCTCTTTCTGTTAACCTCCATGCTCTAATCTGTGTTAAAATATCTGCCTAAAGGCTGAGCAGTGGTGGTACATGCCTTTACTCCCAGGACATGGGAGGCAGAGGCAGTATGGTATTGGCAGGAGAAAATATATAGATCAATCAAATAGTTAAATGTACAGAAGTAAAATCATCGATCAGTGGACAACAGACCCTTGTAAAATGTGTGGTGTGTGTGATGGTGGTGTGGATAGCTGTAAATATGTCCTGGCACTCATGTGTAACTCAGAAGACAACTTCCAGGAGTTGTTTTCTACTTCTACCATGTGGCTTCTGGGATTTGGACTTGAGTCCTCAGGCTCTTTTCTGTTGCACCATCTGGATGGCCCAGTTTCTTTTCTTCTTTGTTTTGTTTTTCCAAGACAGGGTCTCTCTGTGTAGCCCCGGCTGTCTTGGGACTCACTTTATAGACTAGGGTGGCTTGGAACTCACAGAGATCTGCCTGCATCCCCAATTTTAAAAAAAACAACAACAAAAAAAAACATTTTGTGTGTGTATGTATATGGGCTTGTGTGTGTGAGAAAGAAAAACAGAGAGAGAGACAGAGACACAAAACATGAATGCGTGTGCCACAGTGTGCAGTGGGGAGATTGGAGGACATTTTTTGGGAGTCCGTTTCCTTTATGGGTTCCAGGGATCAGAGTCAAGTCATCAGGTTTGTATAGCAAGTCTTTGAATTGGTGGTACTATCATGCTGGCCACAGACAGTAGCTTTTTAGTAAGATTGTCAGTCAATTCTGTAGCAAAATTCTAGTTAGTATTAATAATAAAAACCCAGAGACAGATACTGGAGTTAAACTTGAAGATCAGAGAAGCAAACCAGCCAGTTCCTAGAGAGGTCTTACCTCCAATGCTCAGAAAGTAAGGGCAAGCCTTTCCTCAGAGTCTGCATCCAAACAGCGTGTGTCTCCACCAAACCTCAGACTACTCTGAGTTCCTGTCTGCTTCCACCTTAAATACCTCTCTAGTGCTAGGATTAAAGGTGTGGGATCCCATGTGCTTTGTGTGAGCTCTGTTTTTCTTTTAGGGTGGATCAATTTCCTGTAGCTCAGGGCCGCCTTGATTGAATTAACAGAAATCTGTCTGCCTCTGTCTCCTGAGGGCTGGGATTAAAGGTGTGTGCCATTACTACCTGGCTTCCATGGCTAACTAGTGTGGCTAGCTTTGAACTCCTCAGGCAAGCTTTATTTGTTAGATCATAAACAAAATACCACCAAAGTCTATGGGAAAAGACCAGAACATGGTATTGGGATACAAAGAAAGTATCCAGTAGCAAGATGCTATGAACTATTGGTAGAAATATACACACAGGCTGGGTGCTGGTGGCATACACCTTTTAATCCCAGCACTTAGGAGGCAGAGGCAGGCAGATCTCTGTTTGTTCCAGGCCAGCCTGGTCTACACAAAGAAACCCTGTCTTGAAAAGCCAAACACACACACCTCAGTCACTTGTAAAGTTGCGATCTTTCTAAACTCCAATGCTAATAGTATATGGCTTTGAAACTCTACTGTTGGATATATATCCAGATTTGGAAATGTGGACCCAAATACTTGTTTGTTGCTGTGGCTTGGATGACCCTGAGGGGCCATGTATTAGTGGCTTAGTTAATATGCATTATATGTTAATGGTCAGCTATTGGGAGGTGGTAATGTGTTTGAGAGGTGGGTCCTGGGGCTGGGGCCATGGCTCACTTGTCACACAAGGATGAGAACTTGAGTTTGAAATCTCAGAGCCCACATAAAGCCAGACATGAGGTACAAGTCTGAAATTTCAGCACTCCTCCAGCAAGGAGAAGACAGTTTCAGGAGGTCCCATTTATTAATTGTTGATCTCAGTGTCTGTGCTACTGGTGTTATATTCAGAAAAGGTCTCCTGTACCAATTCATTCAAGGGTACTTCCCATTTTCCTTCCTTCCTTCTTTCTTTCTTTCTTTCTTTCTTTCTTTCTTTCTGCCCTTCTTTCTTTCTTTCTTTTTTGGTTTGAACGTAATTTTTATTCAAATATAATCTAGTTCATGATTTATGGTGGTGCTCGCCTTTTTAATCCCAGCACTCGGGAGGCAGAATCAGGCGGATCTCCAGAGTGACTGCCAGGATAGGCTCCGAAGCTACACAGAGAAAAACTGTCTCAAAAAAAACAAAAAAAATTGAATTAAATTAGAAACAAGTTTCTTTTACAGTTCCCCCTCCCTCTCCTCTACCCCTGCCCCCCACCTATCCACTATCCCAACCTCTCGGTGCTTTGCATGGAGCGAGAGGCCTTCCATGGGGGATCTTCAAAGTCTGTCATTTGGAGCAGGGCCTAGACCCTACCCTGTGTGTCTGGGCTGAGAGAGTATCCCTCTGTGTGGAGTGGGCTCCCAAAGTCCATTTGTGCATTAGTGGTAAATACTGATCCACTACCAGTGGCCCCATAGATTGTCCGGACCTCCAAACTGACCTCCTCATTCAGGGCATCTGGAAGAGTCCTATGCTGGTTTCCCAGTTGTCAATCTGTGGTCCATGAGCAACCCATTGTTCAGGTCAGCTGTTTCTGTGGGTTTCTCTAGCTTGGTCTTTACCCCTTTGCTCATCACTCCTCCCTCTCTGCAACTGGATGCCAGGAGTTCTGCTCAGTGTTTAGCTGTGGGTGTCTGCTTCTGCTTCCATCAGCTACTGGATGAAGGCTCTAGGATGGAATATAAGGTAGTCATCAATCTCATCATTGGAGAAGGGCATTTAAGCTATCCTCTCGACTATTGCATAGACTGTTAGTTGGGGTCAACCTTGTAGATCTCTGGACATTTCCTAGTGCCAGAATTCTCTTTAAACCTATGTAATGGCTCCCTCTATTATGGTATCTCTCTTCTTGCTTTCCTCTATTCTTCCCCTGACTAGATCATCCTGCTCCCTCATGTCCTCCTTTCCTCTTCTCTCCCCCCTTCTCTTTCTTCTAACACTCTCCCCTGTCCTCCCATGCTCCCAATTAGCTTAGGAGATCTTATCCTTTTCCCTTTTCTGGGGGACCATGTATGTCTCTCTTAGGTACTCCTTGTTTCCTAACTTCTCTGGCTGTGTGGATTGTAGGCTGCTACTTCTTTGCTCTATGTCTAAAATCCACACATGGGTGAGCACATACCATTTTTGTCTTTTTGTGGCTGGGTTATCTCACTCAGAATGGTTTCTTCCAGATCATCCATTTGCCTTCGAATTTCAAGATTCCATTGTTTTTTTTTTTCCCGATGAGTAGTACTCCATTGTGTAAATGTACCACATTTTCTCCATCCATTCTTCAGTTGAGGGACATCTAGGTTGCTTCCAGGTTCTGTCTTTACAAATAATGCTGCTATGAACATAGTTGAACACATGTCCTTGTTGTGTGAGTGTGCTTCTTTTGGGGATATGCCTAAGAGTAGAATTGCTGGATCCTGTGGTAGACTGATTGACATTTTCTTGAGGAGTGGCCATACTAATTTCCAAAGTGGCTGTACAAGTTGGCACTCCCACCAGCAGTGGAGAAGTGTTCCCCTTTCTCCACATTCTCTGCGGCATAGACTTTCATTGGTGTTTTTTGTATTGGCCATTCTTATGGTATCTCAGAAGGAGAATAATGAATAAGAATTCATTATTTCTCAGAATAAGGAATAAGATGGTATCTCAGAGTTGTTTTGATTTGCATTTCCCTGATGGCTAAGGATGTCGAACACTTTCTTATGTGTCTTTCAGCCATTTTAGATTCCTCTATTGAAAATGGTCTATTTAGTTCTGTTCCCCACTTTTTAATTGGATTGTTTGGTGTTTTGGAGACTAGCCTCTTGAGTTCTTTGCATATTTTGGAGGTCAACCCTCTGTTAGATGTGGGGTTGGTGAATATCTTTTCCCAGTCTGTGGGCTGCCATTTTTGTCTTCTGACTGTGTCCTTTGCCTTACGGAAGTTTCCCAGTTTCAGGAGGTCCCATTTATCAATTGTTGATCTCAGTGTCTGTGCTACTGGTGTAATGTTCAGGAATCAGTCTCCTGTACCAATTAATTCAAGGGTATTTCCCACTTTGTCATCTAATAGGGTTAGTGTGGCAGGGTTTATGTTGAAGTCTTTGATCCATTTTGACTTAAGTTTTGTGCATGGTGATAGACTTGTGTCTGTCTGTAGTCTTCTACACACCAGCATCCAGTTATGCCAGCACCATTTGTTGAAGATGCTTTCTTTTTTCCATTGTATAGTTTTAGCTTCTTTGTCAACAATCAGGTGTTTGTAGGTGTGTGGGTTAATATCAGGGTTTTCAGTTTGATTCCATTGTTCTCCCTGTCTGTTTTTGTGCCAATACCAAGCTTTTTTCAGGACTATAGCTCTATAATAGAGCTTGAAGTCAGTGATGGTGTTGCCTCCGGAGTTTCCTTTATTTTACAGGATTGTTTTGGTTATCCTGGGTCTCTTGTTTTTCCATATAAGTTGGTTATTTTTCTTTCAAGATCTGTGAAGAACTGTGCTGGGATTTTGATGGCCATTGCATTGAATCTGTAGTTTTTTTTTCAAGACAGGGTTTCTCTGTGTAGCTTTGAAGCCTATCCTGGCACTTGCTCTGGAGACCAGGCAGGCCTCAAACTCACAGAGATCTGACTGTCTCTGCCTCCTGAGTGCTGGGATTAAAGGCATGCACCACCAACGCCAGGCAAATCTGTTGATTTTTTACTATGTTGATCCTACCTATCCAAGAATAAAGGAGATCCTTTCATTTTCTGGTATCATCTTTAATTTCTTTCTTTAAAGACTCCAAGTTCCTTCCATACAGGTCTTTCACTTGTTTGATTAGTGTTACCCCAAGATATTTTATGTTGTTTGTGGCAATTGTAAAGGGTGATGTTTCTCTGATTTCTTTCTTAGCATGTTCATCCTCTTTATATAGGATATATATATATATATATATATATATATATATATATCAGTAGGGCTACTGATTTTTTTTTTTTTTGCAGTCTCCAAGTTAATGTTGTAACTTGCTACTTTGCGGAAGGCTTTTATTAGCTGTAGGAGTTCCCTGGTGGAGTTTTTTGGGTCACTTATGCAAACTATCATATCATCTGAAAATAGTGAAAGTTTGACTTCTTTCTTTACAATTTGTATCCCCTTGATCTCCTTTTGTTGTTTTATTGCCCTAGCTAGAACATTAAGGACAATATTAAAGTGATATGGAGAGAGTGGACAGCCTTGTCTTGTTTCTGATTTTAGAGGAATTGAGTTGAGTTTCTCTCCATTTAGTTTGATGTTGGCTGTTGGCTTGCTGTATATTGCTTTTATTATGGTTAGGTATGTTCCTAGTATACCTGATGTCTCCAAGACCTTTATCATGAAGGGGTGTTGGATTTTGTGAAAGGATTTTTCAGCAAGTAAGGACAGAGCAAGGGTCTTCCCCATGTTTTAAATAACAGATACATAGCATCTTAAATTATCATATAATTAGCAATTTTAGACATTGAACATAATACACTGTATTACAATGCAATGTGGTAGGCTTCGTTTGAGGAACAAAAATAAATTTCACATGAAGAAAGATTTATTTGATTCCCATAAGATACATTTAGCATAAATGTAAACTGCAGCAGTATATACAGTACCCAAACACAGAGAAGCCTGGAAAGGGCACGTCCCTGTCCAAAGCAGTCAACGGAAAGGCTTCCCAGTCATTCATCATCACCTCGCTGTCTTAAATTCCGAGGTCTCCCATTTTCAATTTTTCTCTTTTTGAAGATTGGAGCCACCCCATCTGCTGCAACTCTCAGAGAAGAGACAGTTTTTTTCTTTAAATACCACTTTGATTTCTCCAGCAGCAGCTTCTGGAGCTGACAGATATTCACTTTCAGTGCTTGGAAGTTCCAAGTCGACCTCTTCCCTGGAATAGAAAGAAAACTGAACTATAACCTGACAGATTAAGATAACTATTTGCTTCTAAACCACAAGCCAGTGAAGCACCACGAGCCCCTTCCCAATGGTAACAACCAGGGATCAGAATCGGGTCATCAGAACACTATGCTGTTTCTGTTTTGGCTCTTTTGAGACAGGGTCTCATGTAGTCCTGGCTAACCTTGAAGTCTCCTCTGCCACTGTGGATGACCTTGAGTTCCTGAGCCTCTGACCTGGGTTAGGTGTGCACTGCCCAGCTCTAGGCTATTTAAGATACTGATTTCAGTTTCAGCACACTCATCTTTGACTGAGGTGGACACGTGCTAGGAGAGGTCTCTGCTGCACAAAGGACACAGTATCTTAGAAAATACTCTGCTCATGTAAGACACGCAGCATAAACAGATAATAGGGAAGCTGTGGACACCGATTCGTCATGGACTGACAGAAGTTCTGAAGCTTTACATAACACAAGATGGTAAGAATGGAATCTTAATGTCCTATTGTGAAAGACTCAATGAACTATTTGCCTAGCATCTTTTTATTCTGAGAACTAGCCCTTCAACTATCTTTGTGGGTTAGTCATAAACATTCTGGCTGGACCAGAAATCAGTCCCCTGTTATGCCCTAGACCAGTGGGTCTCAATCCTCTTAAAGCTGCAACCCTTTAACATGCTTCCTTGTGTAGTGGTCACCCCAATCATAAAATTATTTTCGTTGCTACCTCAAACTGTAATTTTGCTACTGTTATGAATCTTAATGTAAATATCTGTGTTTTCCAATGGTTTTAGGAACCTGTGAAAGGATCATCTGACCCCCTAGGAGGTTATGGTCTACATACTGAGAATCACTGCATTATACAGGCAGCCGGTCTATGAAAGAGCTAGCGCATCAAATCCACCCATGAGACTTCTGAACACAGAGCAGGAGATCATCATACTCAGTGGCTGAGATTATAAAGCCTGCTGGAGACCAAATATCCTCTTAAGAGAGAGGAATTCACTAGACAGAGAATAAAGCAGGCAAACAGAGAAAGGGATGGGAGATGAAGAATCTAATTTGTTTTGAAAATATGCATCATAGAGCGCCCCCCTTTAGATTTTTATTTTATGTGTGATAGGCGTTTTGGATGCATGTTTGTCTGTATACCACATGTGTGAAATGTCCACAGAGGCCAGAAGATGTCAGATCCTCTGGAACTAGAGTTACAGTTGGTTGTTAAGTTATTTATCACTGTGGATGTGGGAACCAAACCCAGGTCCTCTCCAAGAGCAGTATGCACCTGCAACAACTTAAGGGATCTTTAAATAAATAAAAACTTTTATTTTTGCTGTCTTCTGTAGATGTAGTGGCACGATCAGGAGTTCAAGGCTAGCATAGGCTACACAAGATTCAAAAAAAAAAAAAAAAAAAAACCCAAATCAAACCAACCAACCAACCAGAACAAAATCTACACCCACACAAACACAAAACTTTGAAGTATAGTGAGACACTTTAAGAGAGTAAGACAGCAAAAGTGTTTTCTTTACATCCTCTGTCTCTGTCTCTCTTTCTACACACACACACACACACACACACACACACACACACACACACACACACACACAC